TTTATATTGTACCATGTCAATTCATCTCAATTAAAACATGGTGCAGAAAATGGTACGCGCTAACATGAAGACCAGACAAATTCGTAACAAGTTGATGAATGATGGCTTGGTGTATATGCCAAATGTCAGTGCATGCCAGAAGGTTATTGAATGTCCCTATCTCATTAAATTTCGAAAGTGCATTTGTTTGTATTCGCTTTTTTTAACATATAGTGAGTGTTTTGTTGCTAGATATTTATGCCAGTTTTTGACGATGAAGCACGTCATTGGTTTCTGTATCTCGTCAATGTCCATCAAAAAACTGCATTTTTGCTTGACAGTCTACCTTCAACTAGTGAGGCGAATCGTAAGCGTAAATCAGCACTATGCAAGAAATTGGTAAGTGTTCCTATAATTTTCTTACTACTAAGCGTCATGTATCATGCTAGAAGCATAAAATATTCGTTATTTGTGTGCAGTTGTCCAATTTGGATGATATTTTTAAATCGGAGCGCATGAGCAATGTAGCAGTACCAAATTTTGGAGATTTCAAATTTGAAGAGCTACGCGTTCAAGGGCAAAGGAATAGTACCGAGTGTGGTGTGCACGTCATGCAGTGGATGCGCTATGGATCCAAGGATCTGGATAGAGTGGTGAGTATATCGTCAAACAAATAACTTGTTTAATTTGTACTTTTTTAGTTCTAACGAAGTCTTACATGCCATAATGCAGATAGGAGAAGAACACAATTACCGGCTCGAAAAGAGATTCTATGGTATCTGGCTACACATTTTGAAAATCGTGCACGAGAAAATTTTTTCAAGCATGTAGTAGATGAATGCATGGAACGAGGCAAAGAGAGAAAGAGTTCAAACAAAAAAGCAAAGAAATGAAGTCATTACGTTACAATGTTGCATTATTTAGACAATACGTTGAATTTGTATTTGCGAGGTTGTTTCATTTTGGATTTTGAATGTTTATCGTTTATTAGATTTGTTATACAATTATGGATGTGAAGGAATTTACGATTTCAATCGTCTAGAACAAGTGGTCGACCACATACTCAAAGCGGTCAAACCCGTAGGCAGAGCACAAGTCGACCTTGTGACGCTTAAGGTCGACCTATGAGAACCGTAGCAAAGTCCAAAACAATGCGGAATAAGGATGGAGTCCTGTTTGTTTCGCTTTAATAAAAAAAGGTTGACCATTCGTGTAAAGAGGTCGACATGTTTCACATTTATCAAGAACGGTCAACCATTCATGTAAAGAGGTCGACCATTCGTGTAAAGAGGTCGACCGAAATGAGTCGGATTAGCTTTTTACTTACTTCTCCTTGTCCAACTAGGATTTTGTGTACTTGTCCTTATCGAATTATGATTTTATATATCCTTCACCAATTGGGAATAATATGTACGGAATTTTATATATCTTTTAATAGAATAGTGTCTTGTTTTTGTTATTGTTAAACATAATTAAGGTTATCGGGGCTACAAGACATATTGAGTTTATATGTACTAATATGGTTATATATATTGGAATAATTGGGAAAGAAGAGACAAAAAGTTGGACTGAAGATGAGAGGCTACATAAAAAAGGAATTGAGAGAATAATTAGAATAAAAAAGATAATAACTCGTTATTTAGAGAATACCAACCCTTCCCCTGGTATTTGAAATAACAAGTTTGTGGCATTTGGAGGATAGCAGGTGTGTCAAATGTTGTATCCTTTTTTCTCCAGCCAAATATGTTATTTGGATCAAATAACACACTCAAATCATCAATCCAAACAAATCATAGGTCTATCTTCATGTGGTCTTTTGTAACTCTCCTTTAGCTGATGTTTTGGGCCCTTGAATTGGAGTGCAGATCTAAGGTGCCTCCAGTCAAGTGGTTAAACATTTCATAACCTTTAGATCTAGATATACAAATCTAATGGTCATTAATAATAGAGGTAAATTTAATTTTTATTTATTTTCTTTTTTTCCTTTCTCGCCCATCACTTTCGAGCGTCCCCCTCTTGCTTTTTTTTACCAGCCCTCTTTTTCGCTTTTAAATTCTTTAAATTTTTTATTATACAAATATTATAAAGTTTCATCCTAAAATATACAAAGCATATCAGAAAAGTATGCAAACTATAATTACAAAGCATACAAACCATAAAACAAAAGTGTACGAACTAATAATAGATGGTATACAAATCATAATATAAAAGTTTACAAATCATGTCATGAAAAAAATATAAAACTAATGTTACAAAATATACAAAACATATCATGAAAAAAATACTAACCAATAAAACAAAGGAATAATACCACTTGAAAACTCGAACTATCAAGAAATCGATATTTATTTTCCGAACTATTCAATATTCCATTAGTTACAACTCTACTTAAGGTGCTCTCTACCAAATTTACTTTCTTTGCCATTAGTTACATGAGTTTCTTAATTTCTGTTATTATTGTGTTGTAGGAGGGAGAGATGATGATGGTACAAGAAAGCTTGAATAAGGTGGTGACGATTCCTGGCCGTGGTGATGCTTCAGCTGGTCGGTTAAGTAGGTATGGAAGAAACCCCTGGGTAGGAATTCGCAGTGGAGGCTATACCCCTTTCAACTCATATAATCATGTAAATTTTGTAATAATCTGGCAAAATATAGTAGTTGATAAGGACCCCTTTCAACTCACATAATCTTGTAAATTTTGTAATAATCTAGCAAAATATAGTAGTTGATAAGGTGTTAGTTCCCTACCAGTTTGAATTTTCTATTCGTAAATTTTTAGCTCTGCTCATTCGAATTTCTGACTCCATCACTAACTATAAGTATAGTTAGATGATCTACATTTGAAGGACTGTGAGAGAGAAAGAGACGGCTATGATATCTTCGCGAGTTGATAACTTAGTTAATTACCTTCATGTTTTGTTATTTGATGAAGACTGCAATAAGCGTCTGCAACTTTGTTTATGACTTTTTACAAGTTTCTGCAGTAGTAGTAGAGTAGACTGGCCATTCGATACTCTTTCGGCATTTTGAATAGATTCTACTATACATCTGAATTTCAGACCTTCGAATGGTTGTTGCTGGTCTGCCTTTTTTTCTGTTTTATTTCTGCAAACCATTGGAAATTGGATCTGATGACAGTTCAAACTTCCAAGTTTAATTAGGTGTTGGATGCGATTAGAACAGCCCATATCTTTTCACCTTTAGATTCTGAATAGTTAAATCCATTACAATCATAGAATTCTGCCATTGTTAAGCAACCAAAAGCTTCCAAGCTTAGCTAACAGGTTCTTTTTAGCGTCCATTGTCAGAAAAGCTTCACCTGTATTTCAATGAAACTCAAATCTTAATCCCACATCGTAGACTATTAAGATGCTAATTATCTATTTAATTGGCACGGAAATCAATGTAGTCGTTGAGTTCGATAACGCGGGCTTGTGACCCAAGTGGGAGCAATAATGTGTTGGGACATTGGGCTGACTGATGAGGTTGGGCCTTGTGTAGCTGAACCCCGGCCTGCCCGTTTCAAGCCTGGAGTTGGGCTTCTGCTTCCTTGGCGAAAGCCTGAGGAGGCCGTTCTCCTAGAGCTGAGGGCACCGAGTCAGGCTGGTTTCACAGAGCAACGACTACCTCTCTCTTCAGGCAGTGAAAGGATAACAGGCTGGTGCTGGCAGACCCGTTGGGCCTCATCTGTCGCCTAAAATGAACCAACATATTTTTCTCATTGGGCAAGAACCGCGCTGGCCGGCCTGGGCTATGGATTGTAGAAGAAGGGCCCAGGTGCCGGCGACGATACTATTTGTTTCTTGGCAATGCTCCATATTTTTCTCATTGGGTTAAGAACCCCGGCCTGGGCTATGGATTGTAGAAGAAGGGCCCAGATTAATTAATTGATGGTGGGTGGACCTCATTTTTTAAAGTTTGTGGGCAACTTGTGAAATCCAAAAGGGTTGCCGGCGACGGTACTATTTGTTTCTTGGCAATGCTCTAGCTTCAATTGTTATCCTCCAATAATATATTGGATATTTTTTTGTACTTTTTCCATTTCAAATTTCTTGTTCTCTCCTAAATTTTGGGTAGAGGTGTAGTGGTAATTAAGGAAGTTAATGATTAAAAAATGTTAATATAAAAAAAAGTATGTTTAAACGTGGTGAAGTTACCCACCAAACTTTCAATTTTTTTTGGTTCTTCATTATTATTCATTTAATAATAACAATTAATCTTTGGTCAGCAATTCACCGAAAAACACTTGACTGGGAGCATCCGAAGCGTGGAGGAACAAGGGCGAGGTCGGTCCAATGAGATCATCCTTGGATAGAGTCGTCGTCGCCTCGGTTGCTTCAGATTTCGTATCAGTTTCTTTACCACTCATCGTGACGACAGTGAGCGATGAGGAACAGCGAACACGAGCTGATCAGGGACGTGACAGTTGTTGACAAAGAGAGACGAAGAATACGAGCAGATCAGAGGCGCAGAACCCTAGCGACGATCTTGATCGGCTCTGATACCATAATAGAATTGATAAACGCGGAATATAGAATGACGCAGAACACACGATATTTACGTTGTTTCCTCCTTCGACTCATTCGATTTGAACGAGACTACTCCACGGTGAGCTCAACCTAGCTTACGGACTACTGATTTATTTATGACGAACAAACTAACTTGCTTAGCATTACATAATCACCCGCTATACTTATATAGGACCGAACAGTAACCCTAATACAAAAACAGAAAGGAATAACAACATTCCTTCTTTGACAAGAAATGAAACTCGCGGGTGAGGACGTCACCACGCGGAAACTTGGACAACACGTAATAATTGATAATATGGTCATTTGTAGTTTATATGAAGAATACATATTTTTCAATTTTTATTACAGTGGAAAAACGGAGTTGGTAGAAAATTTAATAATTTCTCATATATGATAATTTATTTTTTAGGAAAATTGGACCCCTTCTTCGCCATTATTAAAAAAAAAATCTAGACCCCCTTATATAAAATCCTTACTACGCCTTGCTCGCCACCAAACCTTTTTCTTATCCGATTGGGTTGAGATCTATTACTTCTCATCAGCACAATAGCAACATTGATGGAACCTAGGACCTTAAGCCCCATAAATGATCAAAGTCCCATCATCATCATCATCATCATCATCATTCATCAATTGTATAGGAAAAGAAGCTTCGTTGAACTTTCCTGAAGTTGGCGCAAGCTCAACGACTATGGTCTCTCGTCTTTTCCGTCCGTCCCCACAGCGACAATTGCCAAATTTGCAGTTCAAACCAAACCAAACCAAACAAAACAATGCATTCGGCCGCTCGTCCCCTAGCCCATTTCTAGTTCCATTCCCATCGATCATTCCCAAAAATAAATTCCATTAATAAAAGGAAGAAAAAAAAACCAAACCCACGAAACTGCATCGCAATTTCTCCACGAAACTAACTCCAAAAAATCGCACCTTTCTTCCGCCCATTATAACCGTCACCTCCAGCAACTTAGAGATCAAACAGTTCTCTTTACCCACACTCAAAATGGCAACCACCACCACCGCCGCCGTCAGCTCTCCGACCAAGAGGTCTTCCTCGGGGAAAGGATTCAAACTCAGCCTTCCTTTACTCCGCTCCATCCACACCAACAACAAATCCAATAAGCCCAGCCCCACCGCCTCCCCTGCTGCTCCGCCGGAGCGGCGGAGCAGCAAGGAGGCGGACCTGCTCCGTGTATTCCGCCACTTCGACCGCGACGGCGACGGCAGGATCTCCGGGGAGGAGCTGGGGATGTACTTCGCGTCGACGACGGGGGAGGCGATGTCGAGGGAGGACGCGGAGAGGGTGATCGGGGAGTTCGACGGCGACGGCGACGGGACGCTGGGGTACGGGGACTTCGTACGGATGGTGGACGGCGGCGGCGGGGATGGGAAGGAGTTCGACGGGGATCTCCGGCGGGCGTTCGAGATGTTTGAGGAGGATAAGGGGGAAGGGTGTATTACTCCGAGGGGTTTGCAGCGGATGCTGGTGCGGCTGGGGGACCGGAAGTCGCTGGACGAGTGCACGGCGATGATCCGGCCGTTTGATCTCGACGGCGACGGCGTGCTGGATTTCCCCGAGTTTCAGAGGATGATGAACTGATGATGATCAGGGAAATTGATTGTGATTTACGGTTATGGTTATGTCTCCTTAATTAACGTACCAGAAGGTCCATGCTTAGCAGTTTAATCTAGTTATATTCGTTACACGATCCGTGATTTCACTCTTGATTTAAATTTATAAGAATTGATTTGGTGCGATGGTGGTGCAAATTATTCACATTTCATGTTCTTGTGAAGTCACTTCTGAGGGTCTTAAACTATTAATTATGTGCGGACTGTATATTATACTACGATCTGAGATTAGTGTTCTTAGTCCATCGTAATAATTATTCAAGCATGTGTTTGCATATAGAAGTAACAATTATGAAGATTTCTCAAATGAAAACTTTTAATAAGAAGTTACTTTTTTGCACCGGATGTGTGAGTGCGCTAAACAAACACCACGTGTTACAATACATATCATTTGTTATGTGATATTTGTATGAAATATCACGTTTATATGAGTTATAAGTAGTGATATTGTTGATGTGATATTTGCATTCAAATTTGTTGTTTTACCAATTTTTCCTTCTTAATCCAATCTCTTGCTAGTATGCGTACAGGTTTAATTTGGTCAACATACATATGTTATAGTATTAATATGTACAAAGTGTTATACGACATTTGAACATGATAATGTGTTAAAAAAATCCAAATTACTTATAAAATATATTTTTTTAAAAATGTATATTGTACTAATATGTACGGATTTTATATGTCTTTTAATAGAATAGTGTGTCAAGACACATTGATTTTTTATTAGTGTTAAACATAATTAAGGTAATAGGGGCAACAAGACATGTTGAGTTTATATGTACTAATATGGTTATTGGGATAATTGGGAAAGAAGAGACAAAAAGTTGGACTAAATATGAGAGGCTAGTCTGGGATTCATAAAAAGGAATTGAGAGAATAATTTGAACAAAAAGATAATAGCTTGTTACTTAGAGAAGGTACCCTCTTCCCTGATATTTGTCAAATAACAAGTTTGTGGCATTTGGAGGATAACAAGTGTGTCAAATGCTGCATCCTTTTTTCTCCAGCCAAATATGTTATTTGGGTCAAATAACACATTCAAATCATCAATCCAAACAAACCATAGGTCTATCTTCATGTGGTCTTTTTTTTATGAATAAGTTGTTTTATTCATCAAGAAAGGGGGCTTCAGTGAAAACCCCCCTAACTGGAACCCAATCAATTACAACATCAAGAAACCGAATTAACAACAGTCATAAAACCAGAAAAAGCAAAAACCATCTGACTACACTATATTATTGATATAGTTCTCTGAAATGGCAAGTTGTACTTGAGGGAAACCATTCCTAAGCAGTAGCAGCAACCCTTTCAACTTCTCAATCAACTGAGTCACAGTCAGCACCTCCCCAGACATAACTCTCCTGCATCGTTCCCTCCAAATCTCAGCCACCACCATCACCCACAGAAGTCTGTCCCGATCAGAAACAGGACAATTAAGTCGAAAAAGAGACATAACAATGATCAACGACTCCTCCCAGCTAGCTCCCACCATGTTTCTCCCTGCAAATACAGCCTGAAGAACACGCTGAGAATAAGAGCATTCAAAATAGAGATGGTCTCGTGATTCTGCCATAGAGGAGCACAGAGGGCAGACATTAACTACTGATGCATTCCACCTTTGCACCTTATCCAGAGTGGGAATTCTATTCAGAATGACTAACCAGACTAGCAACTTATCTCTAGGAGTCCCAAAGGATTTCCAGACCAACGAGTACCACTGGACTTTCTCATGCTTAACACGAAGCGACTCCCAGACTTTTTTGAGTGAGTATTTCTCCATCACACTATCATCCCAATACACTCCTGCCGATCGAATCCTGAGATGTTGAACAACTTTTGGTCTTATTTTCAAGACCTTTCTCCAAGCCCAGGAACATGGAGTAGAAAGAGGTATATCCCAAATAGAAGTGTAGGTCAGTTGATAGTGCCTTACCCAAGTTGCCCATAAAGAAGAGGAGTTAGAGGAGATAGCCCAGAGGTGTCTGACTAGACATGCCATATTCCAGCTTTGTAGGTCCTTGAAACCTAAGCCCCCCTCCTTCTTAGGTCTAGCTACCACCTGCCAGAGAACCTTAGCTCTTTTCCCATCTTCCTTTGCACTCCATAAGAAATCAGAGCAGGCTTTCTCAATCATCCTTAGCACTTTAACTGGAAGTTGAATGATCCCCATCCAATACTGAGTGATGCTAGAAATAACAGCAGAGATGAGCTGCAATTTACCAGCATAAGATCCTTTACCCGGGTTTCAATGACTCCAAATACATCTACATTTTCTCTACTTACTACCTCCAAAATCTGACTCTGCTTGGCGGGGTGATTAAATCCCCTGATATTCCAAGCAAGTATCTTCATTTCTTAGGTTTTGGTTTTGCAGGCCTACCTGGCCCCTTCTTACCTTGTTTACCTTTACCCTTTCCCCCACCTTCCAGTGCAGGGAACTCATCCAGATTGTTGAGAACATGACTACTGACTACAATTTCACCCACTTCAAAAGATCCACCAGCTAAACTCTGATATCTGTTAGCTACAAGAGTGATAGGACCCCCCTCCTCAGCAGAGGGAGAGCATGTTTGCCCTACCATAGCTGTCTGCAACTCACTGTCAGTAGGCAACTCTAGAGCACTCGACTTTTGCCATTCGGTTAGCACACCCTACTCAATGGATTGACCAGGTTTGCTACAGCCAAATTCAATATCTCACAAGCTGATTCAACCGATTCATGAGCCTTACCTTTTGAAGCAAGAATAGAATCCAGAATCAACTGACCTGCACTTCCAGTAACAGCTTCCACATCTCCAGCCTCTGCAATCACCTGACTTCCCTGACCCTCCTCCAACTCACCCCCTGCATCTTCACACTTATGCCCAAACACCCTACACTTCTGGCAACCAATTGGCTTATTGCAATATTCCAAGTTCACCAAGAATGCTGGCTTGCGATCAGGAACCAACTTCAGAGTTCAGAGTCTCTGGAAAAGATGACTCTATAGACATTTCGACACAGATCTTAGGAAACCCCATTCTTCTACCCAGTCTAGTCGATTGATCAAACCACGAAGGTCGGCCCAGCATACTAGCCATACGAGTCAAAATCCTACCAGTGGCAAACTCCACAGGGAGATCTTGAAAGCATATCCAAATAGGAATGGTGGAATCGCTATTTACCGCTCTGATCCCAGCTGACCACTGCCGAAGGAAGCACATATCATTGTTGAAGTGCCATGGACCACTAGTGAAGACCCAATCCGCAGCTTTCGCATTCGGGAATTGGAAGAGGAAAAGCTGCTCGCTAAATCATGAAACCCTAACTAGGCCCGATTTCTCCCAAAGTCTGTTCGCCCAACTCTGAAGCTGCTTCACAGAAGGGGTGGTGTGGAGAAACTGACCAACGAGGCTATTCTTCCAGCGAGCTTCACCTTCCTGAACAAGCTCTTCCGGAATCCTCAGTCCGCCATCCACGATCTCGGGTTCAATATAAACCAGCTGATTAGCTTCGGCAATGCCGAATAAATCCGCCCAAGACTGACCAATGGGGGACATCGCAAGCTCGGGGGAGAAGAAGGGAACGCATACGAGAAGCGGAAGCAAAGAAGAAGAAGAAGAAGAAGAGAAACTAGTACTTTACCAGGCAGGCGCATTACAATTACTCTGCGCTCTTCTTTTTGGTCTGGTTTTCCCTTTTCTTTTCTCTTATCTGGGCTACCGTCTTTCTTTCTGGGTAATGGTAATCCTCTGTCTTTCCTTTTTCTCCCCGGAATCTCGTTTCGCATGCAGAATTAGCTTCTTCATGCGGTCTTTTGTAACTCTCTGTTCGTTGATGATTTGGGCCCTTGAATTGGAGTGCAGATCTAAGGGGTCTTTAGTCAAGTGGTTAAACCTTTCATAACCTTTATATCTTGATATACAACTCTAATGGTCATTAATGATAGAGGTAACTATGATGTTAAGAAAATTTGAATTTTTTTTTCTTTTCTCGTCCATCACTTTCCAGCGTCCCTCTCTTGTTTATTTTTACCAACCCACTTTTTTCGCTTTTAACTTTCTTTATATTTTTTTAACTATACAAATATTATAGAGTTTCATCCTAAAGTATACAAAGCATATCAGTATGCAAACTATAATTACAAAACATACAAACCATAAAATAAAAGTGTACGAACTAATAATAGATGATATACAAATCATAATATAAAAGTATACAAGAAGATCATGACGATAGACGCAATTAAAAGAAGGGGGATTCATTTGGCAAACAGGTGCAGTTTGTGCTGTAAAGAAGAGGAGTCAATCGATCACATTTTCATCAGTTGTGCGTTTGGGAACGAGCTGTGGGCTGAAGGAAGGAGGATCTGCCGCATTCTAAATAAACCTCAAGGGGACATCCTAGAAGTCATACGCAGATGGAAGGCAGAGCAGCCGAGCTCTTTAAGTGATTGGTTTTGCTTTTGTTTTCTTCACGCCGTTTGCTGGCAAATATGGTTGGAGAGAAACAGTCGCATATTCAGGGATTGTGGAAGCAATAGTAAAGTGGTACTACAAAGGACGGTGAGATCGATGGCTGAGTGGCTTGTAGCCCATGGTAAAGTAAGTAGGGAACAAGGGCTCGGTTGGAGTAGACCTTCGTGGGTCGAGCAGTAAGATTGGCTTTGGCCGCTCCTGCTGCTGTTTTGTTGGAGTCCCAGGGTACGGGCTGCAGTTTGGAGCTTCAGAAGTCTTTCTTCGGCAGTGGGTCTCGTCCTTGTATTTGTTTCTTTCTTCTTTTCTCCTTTTCTTTTTTCTTTTTTCTTCAAGGGTTCTTCGTTTGGTCTTTCGGCTCTTCTTTTTTGCTTCCTTTTGGTCTTGCAGGCCTATGAAGAAACATGGGCCTTCTGGCGGGCTTAGTTTCCTTGGTAGGCCTGATTCGGTTCGCACCCCTCGTGCGTTCTTGTACTAGGAACTCGCTTGATTTGTTTTTGTTTATTGCAATCTATCGATCACCCTTATCAAAAAAGAAGGGTTAAAGACACATTTGGTCACTGAGATTACAAAATCGGGACATGTTTAGTCACTAGAAAAAATTAATATCAAATTTGGTCACTATAATTACTAAAACTGGACACATTTAGTCACTCGCCGTTAGTCTCCGTCCAACTCCGTTAATGAAGTCCGTTAAGTGATGATGTGGCAAACAGAATTGCCTAATCAGCCGGATATAACCCAACAAAAATAAAACCCGACCCGCCACGTCATTATAACCCGCCACGTCATTAAAACCAACCCAACCCATTACCCAACCCCACCCAACCCTTCTTCCTCCTTCCTCTCACCTCCTTCTTTCCCCAAAACTGCCGCCGCCG